GGAGTGGCCATTGAGGCAATGCATGGAAAAAAACCGATCAGTTCTGCCCAATGCTGGCAGGAGCCCTGTGGGTGGGATGACCATGGCAGAGTTCTCTGACTGTCCCCAGGCACTCTTAGTATCTCAGGAGAGGGAGAGGGGACAAGGATGCCATGTTGGGGACCCATCTGGCATGGGGCAAGGGTTCCACCAAGCATTTTCTGTGGTGGGTTCTCAGAGGCCACCAACTCACCAGTGCCATGCCTGAAACCGTACAGAATAAGATTGCCTCAATGCGGGAGAAGTCCCTGGTTGCCTGACATCATAGGAAACATGTGGCTGCCCCTGTCCACGCTCCTCTTCCTTGCAGCTAACTGAACTCTCCATCTTTGTAGGGGTTTCCTGACCCCCTTCCTAGCTTCACAGTTGTCCCTCCTCTGAGCTCAGATAGCTGTCGGCAAGTTTCCTAAAGTATTGACCACACTCTTTCTAGCTTTGCATTCTTATTTATTTATCTATTTATTTATTTACTTATTTATTTGACAGAGTCTCACTCTGTTGCCCAGGCTGGACTGCAGTGGTGCGATCTCAGCTCACAGAAGCCTCAACATCCCAGGCTCAAGCAATCCTCCCACCCCAGCCTCCCAAGTAGCTGGGACCACAGACACGCATCACTATGCCCTGCTCATTTTTTAAATTTCTCTAGAGGTGAGGTCTCCCTATGTTGCCCAGGCTGGGCATTCCTTCAACATCCCGTTCTAAACTAAGGATTCCATAGAGGCATGAACTTTGTTTTCCTTGGAATCCCTGGGCCTGGCACGCTGGAACTAAATACATACTGGAGTCCTTGAAGGAATAATTTAGCATTTATCACGTGGCAGCTCAGGAAGCATCTTTGTCTGAAGGCAGAAGATAAAGATCACAGGATTGTAGATGTTACCTGCTCCCGTTCCTTCATTTTATTTTTCTGAGACAGGGTTTCACTTCATCACCCAGGCTGGAGTGCATGATCACAGCTGCCTGCAGTCTCAGCCTCCTGGGCTCAGGTGATCCTCCCCACTCAGCCTCCTGGGTAACTGTGACTACAGGTGCATGCTGCCACACCTGGCTTTTTTTTTTTTTTTTTTTTTTGTAGAGACAGGGTTTTGTCATGTTGCCCAGGCTGGTCTCGAACTCCTGAGCTCAAATGATCCACCCGCCTTGGCCTCTCAAACTGCTGGAATTACAGGTGTGAGCCACCGCGCCAGTCCCTTCATTTTAAAGCCACAGAAGACGCCAAAAGCAGAGATAAGTCAACTTGAGTCCTTGACATCAGTTGCTCACTTGTTTTCTCTTTAACACAGCCCGCCAGTGATGCCTCCTTTGTGTCCCATGTCTGTTTTGTTTCTAAGCAGCTGTTGTCCCACTCAGCTTGTAATATAGCTCAATTGAAATTTAAACACGATCCAGTGAAACCACTCAGAACTGGAGGTAGGAATGCCAGAACCATGAGTTAGAAATGGCACCTAGGAGGGAAATGACCCTGAGCCCAGTGGAAGCAGCACCAGTCAAGATGGTGGGCATAGTGTGTGCAAAAGAGTACCCAATAATGTACTGGTCCCAATAATAATCAAAGTTTGGAATGCCACAGTCCCCAGGCAGGAATGGACTGAGAGGTTTAAGATCCTCCAGTGTATCCAACAGTTTCAGAAGAGCACAGGAATGACTGCTGTGAATTTGTTGTTCTCTACAATAATTTGTGTTAACATTCTTCTTCCAGTGTCGCTACCCCATTTACATATCATCGTGTGTAATTCAGAAATGCCTACAAACAAGCAGTGCAGTTAGATTCATCAAGTTTTATTCTCAACAGCCCTGATTCCATTTTCCCTTAAAAAAATAAACAGACCAGTATGTTGTTTGTTTTTACGCATCATTCTCTTACAAATTTGTTGTCTAAGTAAAATGTCTCTTGAATGTGAACTGTCTGGTACCCCACTATTTAAAACTGACTAAAATAAATATTTAAAGCTATGTTTCTAAGTATTTGCTTAGCTGTGTTATTTTGTTTATTTTAGCTGGATCATGTCCTACGGTTCCAAGAGTCCTTTAAATTTTAATAATGGCATTGTTTGTGTACATTCTGGGAAGCTTAAAGAACATAAAAAGAATTAATGTTTTGAATGATTTGATGTCTTAGTCAGCTTGGGCTGCCTTAACAAGAATACCACAGACTTGAGTGGCTTAAACAAAACACATTTATTTCTCATAGTTCTGGAGGCTGGGAAGTCCAAGATCAAGGCGGCAGCAGACGTGGTGTCTGGTGAGGGCCATCTTCTCAAAAGACGATCAATTCCATGTCTCTTTTTTTTTTTTTTTTTTGGCGGAGTTTTGCTCTGTCACTCAGGCTGGAGTGCAATGGCGTGATCTTGGCTCACTGCAACCTCTGACTCCCTGGTTCAAGCGATTCTCCTGCCTCAGCCTCCCGAGCAGCTGGGACTACAGGCAGGCACCACCACGCCCAGCTAATTTTTGTATTTTTAGTGGAGACAGGGTTTCACCATGTTGGCCAAGATGGTCTCGATCTCCTGACTTCATGATCCGCCCGCCTCGGCCTCCCAAAATGCTGGGATTACAGGCGTGAGCCACTGCACCCGGCCCCAAGTCTCTTCCTATAAGGGCCTTAATCCCATTTGTGAGGGCTCTGCCCTCAAGACCTAATAACCTTCCAAAGGTCCCAATTCCAAGAACCATCACATTCGGGATTTAAGCTTCAACATATGGATTTGGGGAAGACATATACACTCAATTCAAGGCATGTAGTTTAGCCAAAACATAAATGTAAAGGAATGAATCCTGTTCCTAATCCACCTATGAGGATACATGATTCAATTAAATGTTGAATGTTACTCCCTAAAGAAACAAAGAGGCGCTCACTCCGATTCCCAGTCCCTGGCCTCCTCAGCACAGTTGCAGCACCGAGGGAATCTTCTGATGGTTTCTCCTCCCAACATCCCCTCCCTTTAGCCTGAAGTTGTAAAGCATTAAAAAGTCAAATGGAGGAAGATGGTGCAGCTAGCATGGGGCTGTGGGGGGTCAGGGGAGGATAAAGAACAGTGTTCCTTCATTTTCAGTCCATTTCATTTTAGGAATGTGAAACTTTAAATGAGAAGATCCTTCAAGACGACTCATCCAGATGCCTCTCATTTGTAGACAAGGGAGGGGACTGAAAGGCAGAGATGCTGACTTGTTCAAGGTCCCAGTTAGTCGGTGATTATGACACATTAACTACTGTGATAACAAGGAGATTTATCTCCTCTAATTATGACATACTTCTTCATCTCATTCAATCTCCCATTTGGGAACAACCCTCACCCTGGTTTATAAATGCTCAAGGAAAATAAATGATTGCCCAGATGGTGAAACAGTGTCAAAGCAAACAAAACGATTCTGGAGGTTCAGTGTAGCCCTGCATTAAGTATGTTGTATAACCTGGCAAAACCCTCTCCGTGGCACTCTCTGCCTCAGTTTCCCTGAGAATTTCGCCCTTCCCCTGCATTTAAAGAGCTTGTCACAACACACGTGGACAACAGAAAATACTATTTTTTTTAATCAAATGCAAAGTTCCTAACTATAACCTCGGGATGGGGTTTGGGGCTTTCAGGCACTGACCCCATTTGCAGGAAAAAAAAAAAAAAAAAAAAATCTACACCTAAAGAGGAAGAGGAAAAAAGGTGATATTTGTCTAAAGTAAAATATAATTTTTAAAAATAAAAGCTCAACTTTGATACTTTTTAATTTTTTTTCTGAGCAGGCGAGTTAGCTATGGGTATCTCATTGCAATGTTTTTCTCAGCTCTTAAAGTAGCAGCACAGGCAGTAGAACTGCTCTTTCCTAATAACGTCCTCTTTTCTGCAGTGTCAAGACTTAAACACCTGGAACAACAGATCACTGCTCCAAGTGCTCCACAGGGGACGGGGCCACCTGGCTCCAGGGCTGTCTGTCCGGCTGGGATTTACATAATAGGAAGGCCCCAGGGAGCCTGGCCAGCCCCTGGCTACCTCTAGCTCCCGCTCCCTTTCTCTGAGCTCTACAGTCTGAAAGCATCTGTCAGCAGCACTGGCTGGCAGCCTCTGCACCTCTGGCATGAATACAGGCAGCTGAGTTTGGGAAGACGGAAGGCAAATAAATAGCACAGCAGACAGGCTCTGGTGTGGAGGGTTCACAAAGCGAGAGAGACAAGCCCGGAGAGTCCCCCAGCGCTAACTCGTTCCGAAGCCGCTGCGTCCAACAGGAACATGTGGATGTCATTTTACTGCCAGAATCTTTCCCCAGGGAAGACAAACATGATAAACAATTTCTTAACTCAGGTATCCCTCCCAGTGCTAAGCATGCCTTCGCATTTCACGCGGGGGCTGCTCTGGTGTCAAGCCCCATGGAAGAAGCCTCTTGTGAGGCCAGCCCGAGCCTTGAACTCTGGCCCGCATAGAAACATTCCACCTCCCTGACCACAGTCTTTCTCTGCCCAAGCGCTCCCAGTATCTGTCTGCTGAAGGGTGACGTTCATTGGCTCTGGAAGCCCCCTCTGATCTTAACCTTTTCCTTAGGGCATCAGGTTTGTCCAAGTTTTGGAACCAGAGCCCCTGTTCATGCTGGTTTCCTGGCTTTTTTTCTATCTGACATGAAGGAAGCTGGAAGTCCTCGATTTTCTAAGCACTGACACGCTTCCTGTGATAGGTGGGCCGGTGGACCTTCTCCGAGCCGGCTGTGCCTCCCGTCCTAGCACTGTGCCCATGCAACTGATTACCTCCTGGAGGACCACAAGGAAACAAGGTCTGGGAACTGTGACAAAGGCAGGAGAGCTCCAAGTAAAAGATGCATCACATTCACTTGGCCAACTCTTCAGCACCAAGACATGCCAGTAAAATCAACCACATGGAGTTGTCCTGTGTGTTAAAAGCCTTTAGCTTATTGGAACAAACTGGAGAACAGCCATTAACAAAGTCACGTGGTTTACAAAGCCCATTAGAAAGAGATCAGTATCTGAGCTGTAGATGTTTCTATTTTCAATCAAATTTCCTTTTAATGAAAACTAATTTTTAAGGGCAAGATACCACAGCAGAAGAAAAACCTCTCATAAGAAAAGACTTCATGGTTTACAGCGATCAAACGTATGGGCTATTTGCATGATTGGTGGCCTGGACTCAGTGAGAGATTCCTTTGTAGCAGAGGTTGGCCACACATCTGGGGGCTGCAGCACCACTGAAAAGACAGCTTTCTAAGCATTAGTGTAAGGCAAAAATCACAGTCCCCAAACTTGGCCATTTCCACCAAGAAAACAAGTTTCATAGCAACCTTCCTTCACCAGAAAGGCTTACTTTATGACAGGCTAACAGAACAGATAAGCAGGTTGGGACAAGATACAGACTTTCTTGCATTTAGCTATGACCTTTCTCCCCTCCGTGGATGTGGGCAGGGTGGGGAGAGGCAGGAAGAGGGAGTAGAGAGAAATGACATTTGCACTCAGGCTTCCCGCCCCTACCCTTTGCCCAGACAGACGTTGGATCTACGCTGCACCAGGGGTGGGTCACGGAGTCCAGCTAATTGCCAGGAGCTGAAGCATGTACAAGCCATGAAAAGAGCTGCCCCATGGCCTCCCCACATCACGGTCCTTCATGCACTTGCATCATTAAGGCTGCCAGCTTCAGAGCTCCCTGGACGTTCCCCGGCCAAGCGTCATCCCTGTGTCAAACGGATGGGAGGCCAGGTAATCCTTGTACTCCCCGTCAATCAGTTTGGCGGCGTTGTTCCTGGCAAACCAGCAGTCTATCTGCTCTTCCCCATTGTAGATCTTCCTTTGCTTCCAGACCACTGGGACTTGGTGGCCTTTCACCTTTAGGACGGCCTCAGGCCCCTCTCCCGCCTGAAGGAGCAGAAGGTGAGTGGGGCTCTGGCTGGGCCCCGCAGGGTCTTCCGTGAGTCTGGCATCCTGGTTCAGGAACTGACCTGGGAGGACAAAGCAAAGCATCGGGTCTCAGTCAAATGCAGAAACCTCCTGCTGCAATCCAGCTTCAGTGCTATCAGTGGCGGCAAGGCTTACAATTGGCCACAGCCCGAGACTGGACTCTCCCAGCAGGAGCTGAGACATTTTCTGGTGTCATGGAAGAACATGTGTTCTGGGGGCAGGGAGGAGAGAGCTGAGGATTTAGCCACACCATGGGATTTACCCACGACTGCTGGAAGCTTCCCAGTTGCTAACACTAGAAAGTTGCCTAACCTACAAATAGCGATAACCATGGTCTCCTACTGAGTCCAGAGGACAGGATAGGGCAGATAAAAGAGGGAAGTAGTGTTCCGTCTTCCCTCTGTCCTTTCCCCAGTCACAGGCCCGCCTCCTTTCTATCAGCCTCAGGTCTGTGGTGCAGGATGGAAAGCAGTCAGCTCAGCTCGTCTCTGACCCTCATCCTCAGGACTCTCCGGGTCCGATGGCAGCACTGCTCAGGCCACAGGAATAAAGAGCTGTGTCTGCAAAGGGAGCTCACACTGGGCCGCCAGGCCCCACGAAATACAGCCAGCTCAAGAGTCAGGAAATCCTGCCTACTAAACTGAGCCCTGACAATGGCTTGCTCTTTATTTTTGGGCAAGGGGCCCATGCAAAATTGCTCGTTGAAGAAAGCTGGGTAGAATGGCCCGCCTGCTGTGCACAGCCACGTGGGTACCTCCCCTGGTGGGGGTGTTGCTCAGGCTGGGCGCTGGGCAGGGCTGCCTCGTGTCTGTGTCTTCTTGCTGAGAGCAAAGGAACTGGATCCTCAAGTGACTACACTCCAATTCCTCATTCATTTTCCCAGAAGTCTAAAGAGAACTACTGGTTTATAAAGCCCATTCTTAGCCCAGAAAGCCCAGGAAGAAATCTAATTTTCATATTACATATGTAGTGATCTAATTTTCATATTACATATGTAATTTTCATATTACATATACAGTCATGCACCACATCATGACATTTCAATCAATGATGGACTGAAAATATGATGGTGGTCCCATAGGATTATAATAGCGTATTTTTAGTGTACCTTTTCTATGTCTAGATACGTTTAGATGAACAAATACTTATGAACATGTTGCAATTGCCTGCAGTATTCCATGCAGTCACACGCTGTACAGGTTTGTAGCCTGGGAGCAATAGGAGACACCACAGAGCCTAGCTGGGTGGGTAGTAGACTACACTATCTAGAGAGGTTTGTGTAAGGATATTCTAGATGGTCATATAGCGACCAAATCACCTAACGATGCATTTCTCAGAATGTATCCCTGTCATTAAGCAAGGCATGACTGTGTGTGTGTGTGTGTGTGAATATATACAATATGTACATATATATACATACATACAGACTGTATATATACACACATACAGACTGCGTATACACACACACACACATACAGACTGCGTATATACACACACATGCACCATAAATACATAGACTGTATACATATATACACATTCATACTGTATACATACATATATACATATACACACATATATACAGACTGTATATATACACACATATACAGACTGTGTGTATATACACACACCATACATACAGACTATATATACACACACACACAGACTATATGTATATATACATACCATACATACACACTGTATACATACATGCTGTATACATATATACACATATACACAGACTGTGTATATATATACATGTATATAGACTGATATATAATGTATATGTATGTATATATACATACATATCAGTCTGTGTATACATATATACACACGTAGACTGTGTATAATACATATATCCATGTATATGTATAATACATTATGTAGACTATATATACATACAAACATATAGCTTGTATATATGTATTTAGACTGTATATATACATACATGCAGTCTGTGTATACATATATATGTATATTATGTATATGTATAGACTGTATATATATGCACACAAACACATACATACATACATATGCTGACTGTATATATAATAAAAACCACATTCCTATTGAATTTCTCAGTCGAACTAAAGGTGCTGGCAATACCGGCTTTGCTTGGGAGATTTAACTCTGTCCTCTACACCCAGCGTGAGGACAGCACAGCTTCCCACCTAGCAGTCCGTGGCAGTTGCTGGAGAGGCCTTCGCTGTTGGCGATGTAGAAACCCAGGTGGTGTCGCTGGAAGGGCGCCGGCTTTTTGTAGAGGTGGATGAGGATGACAAAGGCTATGGAGCCCTGGATGGTGACCGTGACATTGGCATTGGCAGACACGGATACCTCCAGCCCCCGGCTCCCCACCACCACACTCTGGTTGCAGGGGAGCACCAGCCTGTCCCCACCATCCAGGATGACTCTGCTCGGTGTGATCTCGAGGTAAGATCTCTCTGGTTTGTTGACGAGGATGGTGATGGTGCGGAAGTAAGTGCGCTGTTTCTTATGGCCATTTGGAGGGGCGGGTGCCCCGATTAACTCTCCATTCACTGTCACACCTCAAAGGCCAAGGGGAAAAGAACAAGGTTAGAAAATCTGGCCGGGAGCGGTGGCTCACGCCTGTCATTCCAGCACTTGGGAGGCCAGGGCAGGTGGACTGCTTGAGGCCAGGAGTTCAAGACCAGCCTGGGCAACACAGAGAGACCCTGTCTCTACTAAAAATAAAAAATTAGCTGGGCATAGTGGTGCATGCTTGTAGTCCCAGCTAGTTCGCTTGAGCCCAGGCGTTCCCAGGAGCCCAGGAGCTCAAGGCTACCGTGAGCTGTGAGTACACCACTGCACTCCATCCTGGGCTCCAGAGTAAGATCCTCTCTCACAAAAACAAAAAAAAAAAGGAAGAAAAAATCTATCCCTGTCCAACACATCAAGTTAGAATTTCCCTCCTCCTTTGGGCTTATCTTTGTATCTCTAGTACCAAAAACATTGTCGGACTTACACACAGAAGCCACTCAGTGGTTACTGAGTGAATGGATGAGGGAAAGCGTAAAGTTATGTGTGGATTTTTTACTGTTGTCTGACCAACATCTTGGGATAGAGGAGGGAGGATGTAGGTTTGGGTCAAGATACCGTAGAAGAAGGCACGAAGCTAAGTATCTGTGCATCTACACGCAGCTTACCATGTTCGTGTGGTTTCCTTCCAGTGTGGCGGTAGTGATGAGCGCGCTTGTATGACCCTGATGTGTATTTCGTATCCACCAGAGGCTGCTGATCCTAATGCGGACATCTTACGATGCCCTGAGCAGTGTGGGAGGCTGCAAAGTTAGCTTTTTGTTTTGTTTTTAGTCCAAAAACTCAAGTTCTTCCTCCACTTAGGTGTTCATCCTTAGACAAGTCAGGAAAAAAAAAAACAAACACCTGTAATCCCAGTTTCTGGGGAGGCTGAGGCAGGAGAATCACTACTTGAACCCAGGAGGTGGAGATTGCAGTGAGCGCAGATGGCACCACTTCACTGCAGCCTGGGCGACAGAGTGAAACCCCATCTCAAAAAAGAAAAAAAAAACCTGCCTCCACTTCCTTATCTGTAAAATGGATGGACAGATATAAAACCTAAGAGAATTTTTGTGAGGATCCCAGGAGGTAGCATTTGTGTAAATTGTAAACTGCTATCCAATCAACTCATTTCTTGTTTTCTTCATCATTCTGAACACCACTGGGGCTTTTCTGGACTTGAGCAAGGCCTGTGAACCAAGCCCCAGGGTTCCGTGCTGTCTGGCTGAATAGCAAACAGATGGCAACTGCACTAGAGATGTTTGGGGCTGAATTAGGCGATGCATGTTAAATGCGTTTTGCTCTCAGGCAAAGCAGCAATTTGCAATAAG